ATTTTTATATTAGTTATAGCTCTTGATTCCAGTGAGAAATTCATGAAATACATCTGTCACAACATCTTTTGCATTACCCCCTTGGGATGGTACCCACATCTTTTGCATAGATGCAGCTATATGTACTGAACCGCATTATGATTGAACGCCTGGTGCAACGAGTCCGCCGCATTCAAGATGATGAGTCTGTATACGCGGACTTGCCAAGAGTAACCGACAAATATCTCGACGCGTTGGTGGTCAACAACCTGACCAGAATTAACGACCACTATCAGTTGTTTCATCCTCGCTCAAACGAGAGCGAGAAAGAAGCTCATAAACGCGCGCAGGGCTATCAAACGTCTCGACGTCAAAATGTGAAAGGAAACTCGAGAAAGGCGCGGGTTCGTCTACCAATATTGTATCGCTTGTTGGTAATTAACCCTTCCTAGAAAAAACAGACAAGACTAAAGGCTGTGAGGAAGGCCAAGTCCCATTATCGTGGGGACTCGGAGGGAAACGTTAACTCTCGGGAGATTTTGGATAATGCTGCTTTGGTTATCGACACCCTCGGCAACGAAGGCATGTCTTCAGAAGAAGACACGACATGTATTGTAAAGCCGCGCAAGGGACGTTCACGAAGGGTCAATGCCTTCGAAACCAAGCTACTTCCGTGGCGTGCGCAGGAGGCCGATCGAATCATTCAACTAGCCCAGTGGTATGCAGACCACTCTGTGTCGAGAGGGGTCAGGACGCAGCGCACGATGGGTGACGAGATTTCCACCTCCCGCCCACCACTGGGTCTGCCACGAAACCTTTTTGATCCAGAATGGCTTGAGGAAGAGCGAGAGCTGGATCCCCAGATAGAAGAGGTTCTCAGAATACGCGAACCATTCTTTGAATTTGTGGATTTTGAAATGCCGGCAGAGGACGACGAGGAGGAGGCGGATAATGAGAGCAGTGATAGGGACGATGTGTAGGTCTCACAATGTGTATTATATTGCTAGAACAATTGTAACGCGTCTAATAGCTTCACAATAACAAGTTGTGCAGTTTCCGAGTCCACGCGAGCCGTTACCACTCGACTGAGAAGACGGAGGGTTACCACTACCGCGCTTCTGCAGTACGCAGGGAAAGACCACTGCCAAGTGGTGGTTGTCTCGATGAAGGACAGATGAACGTGACAGAAATCGGATCAGGATCGGTGACCTGACCCGCCGTGACTGGACGTGTGACCCGACCGTCGTGACCCGACGTGTGACCCTCGATCTTTCGTACCACAACCACGATAAAGCAGCGGCTTTTCCCTGCGTGTCCTTCAGTAGCGGTAACCCCTACGTAGGACTTATCGGTGCTCGCTATTCAGTTGGCTCCCTCAACCGCTACTCTTTCGTATCGCGACCACGATAAAGCAGCGGCTTCTCCCTGCGTGTTCTTCAGTAGCGGTAACCCCTACGTAGGACTTATCGGTGCTCGCTATTCAGTTGGTTGCCTCAACCGCTACAACAACGCAGTGGCTCTCTCCCTGCTCATCCTCTAGTAGCGGTAACCCCACTAAGGATCTGTTGTCTGCGGTTGCAGTTTTTTTTCCCAAATTTTCACCTGACGCTATCCGGTTCGTCTTCAAGTCCGACTCTCAAAACACGACGCTTATCTATATTACAGCTCATGTCTTCCAAAGTCGGTGGACGGAACAAACTTGTATGAACATTCTTCTAACTTCATCTAGTCTGCTTCGAAACGCCGATACACTCAACCCCGTCTCACTCCCCTTGCTGGATTCAGCTCTTCCGCCAGCGGCCTGAATGTTCATCTCGATGAGGCCATCAACGACAACGTTGCGTCGTCTCGCTTCGCCAAAGTCGACAACATGTGGTTTGAGCTATGGTCGCCAAATTCTCAGAGGGCAGAGTTCCTACCCGGACTGCCGCATTCAACTTACAAACTCGAACCGCCGAAAAACATGAAGGATCGACGTTACGACGGCACGCTTGGTCGTTTTGACTACGCTATATGCCCACAGTATCTTGTTTCCGCGCCTCCTCCCTACGCGCCATTCATTCAAGACCTGAATCGGTGCCAACAGAGGATCCTCGACGCGCCCGTTACGGGTCTTTAATGGAGTTTTGGGACGGGGATAGTCATGGCCAGCTGAATGCGGAGGGCCACAATGCAATTCAAGCCGCGATGCTAGCCATCCGACAGCAAATCGACTTGCTGAAGGCAGGGCAAAATCTCCCGGCTGACGCCGCGCATGCATTCCCGAATGGACGGAAGGTGCTACCCTGAGCGAGCTGATCAGAAAGCAAAACTGGGAGTCCGCCTTAGACGACTTTACGCGGTTGCAATGGGCCTTGCGACGAAGAGAGGCGTGGATTACATGGGTCGCGATGCGGACATCGCTTCAATCTAACGAGGCATTTCCTTTGGCGGACGAAGGCTATCTCGGCACTTGGGTCAACGGAGCATCGCCTGAACTTATTCGCGGCCTACGTTTGGCCAGGATTCCGTGCTTCGTGGTTGCCAAAGTCCAATTCAACGACCTACCGCCACACCAGAAAATTCACCCCAATTTCTTGGAGGACACGGCAACTAAACGACGTCTAGAACTGGATAACCCATACATGCGTCTGGCTCGCCAAGAGAACGCGCGAATTATCACCACGACGTCAGGATCCACTCGTTTTGGGACCAGTTTGGTAGCTAACGGAGAACAACTGTCGCGGGCGTCTTCGCGTTATTCCGCTCGACCTCGCAGTCCGGGACTCTTCAGCAATCTGAAGTTCCAGAAAAAGAAGCAGCAACCCGAAGCCCCTCTTCCAGTTGTCCAGCCAACGACAACGATTGCCCCCATCTCGAATGCACCTCCCACAACCTTTGGGAGGCTGACTGGCGACACGGCTTTACTGGACTCGGAGTCGGATTACGGGTCAGATGACTCTTCACGAGGCACCGCGCCCCAACGTCCTTCGGGGCAGGCGTACCAACCACCTGAGCCGGAACTAATGCACTTGCATCCGGACAGGGTGCCGTGGTATGTCCCTCCGCCAGTTTATATCCGACCATCGGATAGACCACAACCGAAGGAGGCTAGCGCTGGTCAGAAGAAGAGGATACAAGCCAAAATAAAACCCACGCATTTCTTCATCCAGGAGATGGCAAACATGGAGAAAGCCATGTTTCAAGGAAAGAAAGGCTCGGGCGTCAAGTACTACGACCGCGTTCACAACCGCACAATTTCCATCCCTCATTATACGCCGCCGCAAGGCGTGGTAGACGCCGAACGTTTCGGCTTGCCGCCTCCTCCCGGGATGTATGCGTTTGTCCGCGATGAGCACGCCAATTGGAAGCCTGTGGCGCCAACGACATGGCTCTACATGTCGATGCAACCGCTTCCGGTTCATCGGCAAGCACATGGCGACAAGGCACCAACTCCCAAGCCTGAGCAACTTCCATCCCGCGTCGGTACTTCCATCCCGCACTCGACTGCGACTCCCGGCCCGGCGCCGACGTCGGCCCTAACTCCTGGCCCGCCGAAACGAACGGTAGAGCCAAAGGCAGCACCGACTCCCGGCCCGGCGCCAAAGCCAGCTCTACAGCCAGCCGCGATTCCAAAGTCAGTGCCGAAGCCAGCTCCAGCGGTGTTGCCGGCCTCTCGGCCGAAATTCAACTCGCAGGCTGTCCAGGCCTCTCCTGCCATCCGAGAGATGAAAAGTGTGGGCGTTCAGACCGACGAGCCGCCTCGTCAACAAAGCATATGCGCAGGGGTGCAAACCGACCAGCAATCTTCGGGGCTCAAGCGAACTGTGGCGACTTTTTTGTCGCAAGAGAATGCAGTTGCTTCGTCCAGTAATAACGCCGGCCCTCCTTCCAAAAGAATCAAGCAAGATTTGGGTCAGCACCAGACGACGAAACGCGTTCGTCCCCGAGACGCGCGGCGAGCTGCTCAATGGCACGAGAAATATGGCGCTGCACGCCAGGAGAAGGATCCCGACGCTGTCTCTCTCGGTTCTGAGTTGAGCGATGCCTAGTGCCTCTGCTGTTCTTCATTGCGTCGTGTATAGGCTAATACTAGTGTAGAACATGTACATAGCACCACCAACATACAGCGAATTGACAATAGTTGCCTTCTTCCTGTGACCTGCAAGGTGGACTTGATGGTTGACCTGTAGGTACCCCCACAGGTCACCGGTATACTGCTCATATCTGTATTGGTTTCTGTGGCACTAAAATTAGTCGTATTTGTTGTAGTATATGGAAAATTGATTCCTTTGTTTTCAGAAACAATATACATGTGAATGAATTCCTTTGTTTTTGGAGGACTGAAATGGACACAGAAACTCACTGTTTCTGTTCGCATTTCAGCATTGTTAAAGTGCTTTGTTTCTAGCTCACTGATTCTTGCACAGAAACAAAGGGTTTCTGTGCAAGAATCAGTGAGCTATAAGTTGCCACTTTCAATGGCGCGGAAACTAGCGCTGATAGGCGTAGTTTCCGTGGCCGTTTCGGGTCAGAAGAAAGAAGTGGTTTTGTTGGAGCTGATTTGTGTACATATTTGTCCAAATTCTGAGTCAGTTTCTGCTCAATTAAAATTTTGCATTTAAGTCGGCCTAATTCTACTACAGATTGGTTTAAAATCAATTATAGTTTCTGTTCGAGCTGATATTTTGCTTTTTCCGGTGTGATGTGCTCTTTTGGACGCCGGCGGCGCTTCCACACCAACTTAACACCCACTATCCCCGACGCGCTTCCTCCGCTGCACGGTGCACTGTTATACACACACGTTGGGTGACACTGGCAGTCCATCATGATTCATCCGCCGGTTTCCGATGGCGCCACACAGCAATGCTGCTTCGCGACGGCAACATCCGTAACGTGAGCCGTGCGTCACCACATACACCACTACAGATTCACAGAAACTATCAATCCTCATTGCGGACTAGTCCGAGTCGACGTCGACATGGAATCTAGGCCCCAGGGTATACATATTCATACTCGTATTTACAAGTCCATTGAAGGTACTAGGATAGCTTGGGGTACAAGCCATCAACAGCCACGCGAGTCTCGAGTGGCACAGACACTGAGGCTGCGCGTGAGTCGTTTGCCACTGCAAGTGTGCGGGTGCCGCACTGCCGGTAACCAGACTGGGCGCGAAGGCAACATCCGGTTGTTGGGGCGTGGCGTCGGTGGCGTGAGCTGCGCCGAATGGATCCGAAGTGCTATTGAAACCTGGATTTCCCGATGCTGTGGTGTCGGCTGGCTTCCAGCCGGAGTGAAAAGCCTGGCTCGGCCGGAGGAAGTCAACGTCGCCCCTGCTAATACTGGCACCGAGCCATTGCCGCTCAACGCCGGGGTTGGAACTCGGCAGGCCGGACTCATGGGTAGTGATCGATGGTGGGATTGTTGAGTACGCGGCGGTGGAATGGGCTGTGCCGAGCCAGTTCAAGTCACTGGTCGGCAGTGGCTCCGCCGGTCGCAGCGGCGGCACAGCGGCTGCTAGCCAGTGGTCCTGAAGCGGCACCGCATGGGTATCAACGGCTGACATCGTCGATGTCAATGTAGAAGAGGCAGCCGGTGAGTGGAAACTTGACTCTGTATCCGTAAACTCGGAGAATTGCCAGGGAAACTCCAGATCGGCATCCCAACGAGTACTCTGAAGAACAGTCTCAGGCTCAGTCATTGATGGTGCGGTAACACGGGCCGCATTAGACCGGGCCGGTGGACCGGCCGCAGCGTCTATTGCGGCTCGGGGAAATGGTGATTTAGGCAAGCGTCTTCTGCCTCGGCGCGCACGTTGTTCCGACGGCCCCGACCCCGGGTCTGCGCCGCGCGCGTTGCGACTTACTCCGCCCCGCGGTGGCCGCCGGCCATGGTAGCTTTCCGCCCTCAGCGCTGGCACCGGCTTATAGATACACACACGGCCGCTCTTGCGGCAGCGCAGACACTCTCGACTCTGGGAATCCGTCATACACTGAAACTCGTGATCAGTCCCGCTTCTGTCATAGGCAAAGACAGGGGGGTGGCAACTTGCCTTGGTTTTGCTGGCACGGCAGTGCGTGCACGCGCGTAAGACACGGTCGGTGGCCTGCCAGTGTGTGTCCTCATGGTCGCCTGGGGAAGTTCCCATTGTCTTGTGATGAGTCGGACAGGAAGGGCTGAGTCTCTTATAACTGCAATGGCTTTGATAGAAAAAAAACTTTAGCCCGCCGATCAGCGCCAAGATCCCCGAGCCACAGCATCAGAATTCGCCGGATCTAGCCAGTGCGGGCAGATCAGAATTGCGAGGATCTAAAATGGAACTTCTTCCCTGACCTCCCCTTGAACCCTTTCTCTCACTCTTTCTCTCCCAAGACTCCCCTTCTGCCATGATATTGGGCAAAGCTTTCATGACCCCATATGATTGCAAAATCAAGTTCAAGTTGCCCCAGTTCCTATGCCAATCCCAACAATCACCTTGGCACGTAGCCCACCATCTGACGAGTGAGCTGGGCGAGGAATGCGTCGTTCCGCGGGCCCGGTGCGAGCTCTGGGATTTTAGCGTGACCGTGCACGTGCATGTGCGACTGGGCGTGCGTATGGGGGCGCCAGGGAGGCGACGATCTGAGGACCGACGACGGTGACTGTTAAAAACACTTAGTTTCTGAAAGCACAACGATAGCGATGGCACCTGGAGCAGTTTCTCAGACTCGGCTATCGCGCGCTCGTACTCCTCTTCGAGCTGGTCCCGTGGGCTCTGTTAGAGCATCAGCTACTGTGCAACTAAGCTTGAAGACGCGCCCCTAGGCCGCACCTGGTGAGCCAGCGAGCTCATGGGCAGCATATCCGGCAGGGCGTAGCCCGAACCCTGAGACAGAATTAGTTAGTGCACGGATGGGACAGAGAAAAAACGGACCGCCAAAAGACCCCCGCACTTGTGCGATCTCTGCATCGAGCCGGGCCTTGATATTCTCAGCTTGCTGGGGGGAGGACCCGTTCTGGAGGAGATGGTCATAGACGGAAGCAGAGCGGACAGGGACACACGAGTTTGTAGTCGTCGAGGGCTTGCAGCAAGTCGGAGTCAAATCCCATCATGTCGGCCGCCGGGAAATGCGCTTTCTTGGTGACAATGAGCGATATGGCAACGTCAGCGTGCACGGCCCACCTCCTTGCCTTTGCCCTTCGAGCTCCCCTCTTCGACGCGAAACGGCATCGGGGTCGGCGTCGGCATGGGCATCATCGCAGGGGCGGGAACAGCCTGACGAGGGGGGGAGTGGACATGCTACAGCAACATGAACATGAGGAACAAATGACAAGAATAAGGTCAGGACGTGCCCCGGCCTTGGCAAGGTGCTGCTCGAGATGCTCGACTTCGCGGTTTAGCCCGTCCACCTCGCGCTGCTTGTCGTCCAGCGCGCGCGTGAGCACGGTGATGAGCATGGCGTGCGACACGTGCGTATGCGGCTGACCATGCGAGTGGGAGTGCGGTTGCTCTTGGGCGGCCGGGGCGGCACCAGTCTGACTAGGGGTTGGCGAAACTGGCGCGTTCGTAGGAGTAGTCGGCGCAGGCGAATTGGAAGGAAACATGTCTGTAATGGGAGGATACACAGAACATGTCATGTAAGTAACCCGGGTGACGGAAGAAGAGGACCCTACTTACCCTGAAATCGATGAAGAATCCCGCCGGCGTGGCCAGGTTATCTGACATCTTCAGGGTCCGGCTTGGCCGCGGGACATGAGGCTGGGAAGAGAGGACATGGATTTGCGTGGTCGCTCCCTCAGCCTCGTGGACGGAGAGGCTGGAAAGCGGCTGCGGCTAAGGAGGGCGGCCTCTGTCATGAAGGCGGAAGGAAAAGTTTGTTGACACGCTGAGTCATCACCGTGTGACTGTGTGAATTGATGACGGCACGATGACGCGTCTTGGTTTTCTCCTTCTTGACGCGCCCGCTCTCAGCCGGTCCATCCGTCGCGCGCTTCTGCTGGCGCCTCCCCCTCATGATGGATTAGGCGCCATCCACTAGTGACTCGGACGTGGCACTTGCCTTGACAGATATGGACATGCTCCCGACGAGAACAGGCGCCATACTTGCTTCTATGCCAGTGGAGAGCAAATGGTGAGACCCCCGGTCGGTCACCGTCGGTGTTGCCACAAAAACGTGGCGGCCGGCAGATCCACCGCGCATAGCCCCGTGCTTGTCTCCATCTGTCGGTCTTTCCCGGCGCTTCGATACCCGACTCGGACAACCGCAGCGGGTTTTGTGCGCCCATCTGAAATCCACATAGAACATCAGCGTCCTCATCTCGCATGGGCTAGTCGACATCGACATAGATTCACTGCTGGTATAAAGTATGTACATAACAAATCCTTTTCAAGCACCGGGTGTCTGACCACATCAGGAAAACCCAAATTTACTGGGTGGAGCTGGAAGAACTGGGATACTGGGTGAACTGGAGCCAGTGGGCTCCAGAATAGCAAATGTTGCCAGCTCAGTGCCAGTAAGTCTCACCTAGATATATAACATCGAATTACATGGTTATTGTAGTGTTACTCTAATCACTATACTCCAATTACATCTTGGAAGTTTGAACACCGCAATATATTATATAGACACCAGATTGTACCTTTAGGGCCGGGCCTATGTCAAACTCAGGCGGCCAGGCCCATTGCGGTTGTAATCACTTGGCAAAACCATCATTCCATCAGGTGAAACAGCAGATTTGATACGGATTTGCCATCAGGCAACAGCAAATTTTCTGTTGCCATGCTGCCCGACGTCACAGTCACCTCATCTTTTCTTTCACAGCCGCGTTTCAAAAATGTTGAGGGCGGAAACGTTAGTGGGAAGAGGCAAAGTTTTTTAACCCACGTTTTCATCATACAAACTGGACCAAAAAGGCAAAGTTTTCGGGGGAGAAAAATTTATTGGACAAAGTAAAATTTACAAATAGGTATTTTGGCGCTACAAATGGCAAGTATTACTACAAATGTTCTTTAGCTACAAAGTCATCTAAAAACATGAGGCTTTTCTACGAGTTTTGAGAACGAGGGAAAATGTATTCTAAAAGGGGAAGTATTCGAATGAGTTTTTCTGCTCGAAAAAGCTCAAGTGTTTTGACTTCGTTTTTTGACCCGATTAATGAAAAAAAAAACATCTAAGATTTAGATGCGTTTTTTGACCCGGAGAATGTCGAGTATTTTAATGCGTTTTCCGAACCGGAAAACTTTAGGTACTTCAATCCGTTTTTTGAACCGGAAAACAACAAGTTTTTTGGGCCGAATGTGGTGAAATAAAAACTTAAAGTTTTTCCAAGGGAGGGCGATTTCGCCCGAGAGCGCCCGGAATCGCGCGAAAAGCGCTTGTATTGCATTTAGTTTTTATATATATACGCGCCGAACAGGCACATCCATGCCCTCCAGAATCAACGTCATCGCCCTCACCACGCCAACTCGGCCCCCACAAGCAGCGAACCCAAATAATTCTTGATGTCTTCTGCGGCACCTTCGACACGGCACCCGGCGCAGCCATGCCGGACGCAACCACGAATGCGCGATCTTTTCTATAACGCGAATCAACGCCGGGCCCTGCGGTAATCCCTGCCGGCGTACCGAACCGCTTCGGGCGCGGGGACCTCCCACACAGCCTCCCAGCGGCGCGGACGACACTGCTCCCACTCCCCCAACCGCTCTTTATACCGGGTCGAGTACCCAACTTTAAAGGCAAGCCGGCCATCATCGAGCACCACCTCCAACACATAGATCTGCCCGGGTTTGTTGTCGTTGACACGGATATAACGTTGGCCGAGGGTGTAAACGCGATCGAAAAACGGCTTCTTGGAATTCAGAGTTAAGGAACTCCACTTCGGCTGGGGTAGTGGGAACGGGGTACGCCGAGAGAACCTGACGCGCGATGAAACGCGAGCGCAGGTCGAGTCGGCGGTAGGTGAAAGCGTTCTCGGCGGACGGCATGGGTGGTAGTGGTAGTGGAGGTGTGACGGCGGGAGCGCGACGAGCGCGAGTGACGATGGTGACGATGGTGACAACGGTGACGATGGGAGCTAGTAACGCGGAAATAGCGTCGGGCGTACGCGTCGGTCAACGGCGGGAGTGAGGAGCGGATGGGCGGGTGAATCGGGAACGGAGTAACGGCCCGGTGACCGGCTAAGTGAGGCCGGATCCCGAAACGGCGCGAGTGGGCCGACCGGATGAGTGGGTGTGGACGGCCCGACGGCCCGGTTGCCGGATAAGGCCCGGAGCTTGGCAGGGGGTGCTTTTGGCGCGCTGAGCAGCGCTGGAATGGCCATGCCAGCCGATGAGGGGGGCAGAGGGACTGGCTGGCTCGCTGATGATATCCGCGCCAACGAAAAGCATGGCTAGGGGGATTTGCGGGCGGGGGTCTGTCGATTGGTCGGTGGTTGGGGAAGGCCGCCGACGTGAAAGACATGACGTGAACGGGTTGGTGTTCGTCGGGCGGGCCCGTCTAAGATCCCTAGTATCAGTTAGCATACCATAATGCACTCAAATTGAAGCACATACGTGGAGTTTTCCTGCCGGACGATGTGGACGATTTTTCGCCCGCCTGGACGACTTTTCGCCTACATGCAAATTTTGAGGCCTGAGGAGAAAAAAAAATCGCCCAAGGGCTTCGCCACTGCCGACGCGAAACGCGTCCACGAATGCAGGGTGGTGACGATCTTTCGCCCACATGGACGATTTTTCGCCGACAGGGCGATTTTTCGCCCAAGTGTCCATATTGAGGCGGGATGGGAAGGGGGAAAAGAGGGATGCCGGAGCCACCACCACGACCACTCCCGACGCAGAGCGCGTCCAGGAAGGCGGGTGGGTGGTTTGTTTTCGTCGATGAGGACGATTTTTCGTCGTCAGGGACGAGTTTTTCGCCCGGGTCTGTATGTCGATGGAGAGGGGATGGAGAGATGGGAAATGTCGGAGCCACCACCACCGCCACTCCTGACGCAGAGCGCGTCCAGGAGGGCGGGGTGGTGAGGAAGAGAAGAGAAGGGGTTTGATGTGACATGCTGACGTGACGATCATGATCAAATCATGATCAAATGAAAATTCCGTCCAGTCAACTCAAGGCTTGGTCTGAGACGGGTAGAAATATTTGAATAGTAAAGATACTAACATATAAGTGTACACACTACGCATTCCATAATGATACAAAGTTGCTGGGCATATCATACGCTTTTGCGAAACCTCTTCGTGGAGCACGACGTTGATAGTCTTGGAAATCTTGGACGGTGTCGCTGGCGCTGAGAAATCAAAGTAAGTCAGGACGGCGGCGGCATAATGGAAGGTTACATACGAGATCGCGACAAAATCCGCTAAACAGCAGTCATGCTTACTGACAATTGAGGTTGGATACCCGTTTCTGCCCAACTTGACCACAGCCATATCACCCCTCACACCGAGCTGGTTATTTTGCGGGAGTCGAGTGTGATCTTTGTAAAAAACTTTGAAGTAAGTGTATTGCGCGTCCGTGGCGAAGGCCGACATCCATTTCGTGGACCCGAGGCTGAACTTCATGCCCGCCAAGGATAGCATCAACAGCGAGCAATTGCCAATTTCGCAGGCCGGGCTGAGCAACGATAGGTGCCGCAACACAGAGCGGACTACGGCGGTCAGTGGAATAAAGCCTGACACGCAGAACACGTTTTTCGCTAGATACTTTTCAGTTTCAGGGGAAATTGGGGGCACACAACGCACCGTTGATGGCATAGCGATGCGCCCGTGGGCCATTTTGAAAAGGAGACGGGACAGAGGAGCGGTGAGGCGAACTCGAAAGGACAAGACGAGCAAGAATTATATATCAAAAAGTTGCATTGTCTAATTGTCTTCGGAAATAACCAGCCGGTGCTGACAAGCAGGGAGAAAATCTTAACGGCATTGAGTACGTCCAAGACTGAGTACCGCGAGCAGCTGGGCAGACATCATACAGTATATACTGACGCAGAGCGCGTCCAGTATATACTGTATCCCCACCGTAGCGGGTTCCGAAAGCGATAAGCTTGCGAGCGCGACAGTTTTCCTCGCCCACAGAAAGCAATGCCACCCCCACGACTCCTGACGCAGAGCGCGCGTCCAGGAAGGTGGGGGACTTGATGGCTGTTACGGGTGGTGGTTCAGAGAGAAGTGCGTGACGGTGTGATGAGGTGATGCTGATATCATGATGATCAGACTCAGCGAATGATAGACAATCGGTGATGAGATTATGGAGATAAGATTACAAGAGATAAGAGTACATGAGAATGCTAACTTCTAGATAAGTTCAGTATTACAGCTCGGTTCTGGCTAAACTCATAGCGTGCGCAATGCGAAACGACCTGCGAAGGATCAACAGTATCAGTGCGTTCCATCATATTGGATGAATAAGTAAAAGCGGGAAAATATGGGCGGAAAGGCTCAAAAGGATCTGATTCTCCTTCGAGCAGGGGAAGTTGTGGGCGGATAACGAATGAAGTCGTTTGATCTTTATATATGATCCTTTCGATGCTTCCCGCGACTGCGACACTTGAAGGGGTGGGATGATATATAACAAGGCTGTTCCCAAGATGGGTCGAAGCACGCGCGT